GTAATGGTTAGACAGATTTATCCATTATATTATTTGAAAAAAAAAATAAATATTTATACTATTAAATGTCTTATATTTATATTATTTTTTAAAGCATGACATTTTCTAATAAAAGTATAATTGTTTATAAGAAAATATGGTGACCTAATTGTTAGGTTTGCCTAACACAAGATCTATAGTTAAGGTTGTCACAAAAAATGTCAAATTTTATTTTTTTTACCTTTATCAACACACATTCATCTTAACAGGTTTTAATCTAATGATAAAAATATTATATATATATATATACTTTTTAATTTTGAATCAATACACATCTATTTAAACATGTATGTACATATTAATCCCAGGTAAAAATCCAACTGTGTGCATGAATGCAGTAATCGAGAAGAACCATACCCTCCGTTCACTCACATGGCTGACATTAACTCTGTCTCTGGTTGTTAATTTTTTACCGGCTAGGATTTTTTACAATTTCCTTTATGCGGATAAAAAAAATTTGCGGTCAACAGTAAAAAGGTTTAGTTCAATTCATCTGGAAAATGATGGTCCCTGAATTTGTTAAAAAAATAATAAGTAGCATTTGACAGCTTTTTTTGGGCTGTCAAAAGTAATATTTACTGCTAGTTCATAAAATTAGGAGAACACGAAACATATTTTTTGGGATTATTTGCTGCTTTACAACTACAAGTGCAATCAAAATCATATTTTGGTTTTATTCAGTCAGGTAATGAGTCACATTTTTCAATTTCTCATATTTCAATATGAATCTTATTTTATATTTTATCATTCGTATAATTCAGTAATTCACTTCCCATGTTTTCTTTATCATCTCACGGCGGTGTTAATAAGACCTTTAATTTTGTTCACCTATCATAGATGTGAATATTCGATCACATTTTTTATATAAAGAGGGATAATTTGTATTTTTAATCATTATATATATCTATGTATATAATTAGGAGCAAACTTTTTAATGCTATACAATTGTTTCCTATCAGTTACCCCTTTTTTCTTACGAAACGATAAGTATATAAATAAATCATAACCAGTACATAATTAAACATACATTCCTTTTAGGCTTATACATTCTGCCAAGGGGAAGAACCTAACTAACGCACTCAATACTCATATACCTGAGACAAAACACGACTGCATACTCAGACATAGTTGAGACTAACAAAACACATAAAGAAAACATAACTAAAATACCTAAAAAATCTAATTAAATAAAATACAACCTCCCCTACTTAGCTATCCTACCGCTGCTGCCGCACACCCCAACACATAGACTAGTCTTCGAAACCAAAGAATGAAAAAGAAAACTACAAATTTGAGGCCCCCATATCTAAAAATTTTAATTCCTCGAACGACTAGCCAGATCTGACAATGAGACACATCTCGAGGTTATACTCTTACCAACGCATTTGATAGATTTTCTTTTATGGTATCAGAGCTAATAATTTTTTGTTAGACTCTTATCCATCTTTTCATTTATCTCTTTTTTTGTTTTTCCATTTCATTATCATGGTTGTGGCATTGGGTCAAGGAGAGTCTACCATACAACTGCAAAGCCAACTCATTTCTGTCAAGTTGTGTGCCATCAACTTTCTCATTTGGGAGCAACATATCCTCACCACAATCCGAGGTTATGGCTTACTTGGTTTATTTATTGGAGAGACTGAAACACCAACCAAGCTTTCACTAGATCCAACCACAGGAGAACCTGTGGTCAACATATCTTACCTCAACTGGTTCAACCGGTTTTGGACCAGTTCGAACGGTTCTAATGCATGGCGGTTTGATGGCTCAAACTGGACCGAAATGAAGGCCGGTTCTCGGTCCAATTGGTTGAACCGACCGATCCAGTTGGTTTTCAGAACCATGGTATTTGGAGCGATAGGACAAAATATAATCGGTTTCTCGTCTGATTCCCTCCCTCCCCACCCCCCGCTCAACATGTGATTGGATATAAATTTTTTCTACAAAAAATTACTTTTTAGTTATTTCTATTTTTTTTTTCAATTTTACCAATACAGTTAGAAAGATAAGTTATTCGTTAGGACATACTTTTCAATAAAATTTAATATTTATCCACTTAAATAATTTTTAACTACTAATCATCTATAATAAATATTTTATTATTTTTATATCACATCAATTTTAATCATTATATTTTATTCCACATCCACTCACACAAACTCAAAATTAGTTCAAATTATATACTTCCATAGTCTTCAACAAATTCTAAATCATCAAAATAAAAAATAAAAAAAATCTAAAATTATACACCATTAAATCACAAAATATCCATTCCGCAGTCACTATTTTCTTCATTCTCAATAATCAATAGATTAACTAATAATTCACATGTTAAAATTTGTTCCCTTTGTAGGAAATAATGGTTCCAATCCAAATTATCCAATTAAATCGACTCGCACAAATTATCCCCTTGAATTTATTAAGTATTAACGTCCGTAGCAACTTCTGTACTACTTAAACAGAACCCACATAATCATTTCAATGCATGATATGATAAAAAGTTTTCCAAAATTCTAGAGCGTGTCCAGGTTTTGCTGCGCTGGAGATTTCTTAATCATTTTGGGTCGGGATAATGCGCAACATATACCGTGTCAGATAACTCAGCTTCAGAACATGCATCTTTTTATTAATATAATTTATGAATAAATTAAACCACATTATAAAAGCCTCACGACTCATAAATCATGACATCTTCATCTAAGTTTAGCCTATACTTTTTATTTTATTTTATTACTGATTACTTATTCCTGCTATTAATGAAATACCGAAAAAAAAAAAAATCGCTTACCAACTTGATTTATACTCGTTGAGTTCAACTAACATAGGTTCTGATGCGAGTTTAAGCCTTTTGGCCTCAAGAAAAAGATTGTTCTATACATCCAAATTAGCTCAACTCAAATACCATCCATCTAACTCAAAAAAGGGGAAAAGCCGAGATAATGGAAAAGCTTTCACTTGCAAATACTATTCTTCATTTTGTTTTTTGTTTCACACAACAATACGAATAAGATGACATTGCATAAAAGGCTTGTTACTTAAACCTTCGACAAACTAACAACAATAGTGAGTGTGTAAGCAAAATATGACTAAAGCAAAACTCTATGCCTACCAGGCGAGATAAAACCAAAAACTGTCGAACTGTCTAGAAGAATTTGGGAAATTTTTCGTTTTCTAACCTGAACGCATAAATATTCACGTGAAAATACAAAATTTCAACTGCTCCCCCATTTTCCCACCACTCGTTCTTTAGCCGAAACACGTACTGGTTGGGCCACCTCTTGCTGTGGCCCACGAAAAGTATCCCCATATAACCGGCTCTTAACCTTTGACATCAAAAGGGTAAGCCCAGTTCTTGTCCCTCGCAAGGTGACCAACAATGGATTGAGAATGACGGCAAGCATCATGTCCCCCTTTGCAAATATCAAAAACTACACACAAGATACAAGCCATCTATATATATGAGGAAATAGTTATTTACACTCCATTACTCCATTTCTGAAGACTGAATAATTTTCTCACACTGTTGGATTATAACTTATAAGTTAACTTTTTCATCCGAAGGCATTATGCGACAATTTTGCGAAAGTTGCTAACGTGAATATTCGACTGATATGGGGACATTTATGCGACTGATATGCAACAGTTATGCGAACCATTCGCATAACCTTCGCATTTTCATTTTCTGGAGTGGAAAAGTTAGATTGTTAGCAGGCGGGGTGAAAAACTTCATATATCTTGAAGTCGGGGTGTAAAAGAAATTGTCCCAGCATAAACATAGAACAAGCAAGATAGGCAGAAAAGTGGGATGGTTGGTGGTTAAGAGATGCTTACCACGAAAATAATGCCTAAGATAGCAAGACCTGCTTGTTGTGTTTCTTGCCAAAAACGGTCACCATCCCACCCACCACCATTTGAACCGCCCCATCCAAACCAACCGCCACCACCAGAATCTCCACCTCCGCTTGCTTCCTCTCTCTTCTTGATTTCTTTGTCCCATTTCTCAAACTCCGTTTTCTTGCCATCGAGGGCACTCTCCAAGGCTTTTAGAGCCTCTTCCTGCAGATTTTACAAACACATGGGCCATATTGGTAAATATAATAGAAGAACACGATAGGTGAAAACTGAACTGAGCTGTGATTTCTTTTATCTATTTATTTTTATTTTTATTACTATTACTGTAGTCGGCACATGTCATTCCTTTGTCTTGATGTAAAATACTTTTGCCAAATATTAAAGCTTTTATTTTTATTTTTATTTTTTTCGCGTTTTGTTTCAGTATTTAGAGGACTCTTTTTCTTTTTCAATATTGGGTTCCTCCTATGGATATTCAATCCTATAATGAAAAATGCTGGTTTTGTGAAATTTATTTCATTCATATCATCATTCAAGCAGAAAAACTCCTCGGGGAAAAAATAAATAAATAGAAATAAAATTTTATGCTACTAGGTTTTTGGTTACTAACTGAAATTCCAAAAAAGGTAGGGAACATGAATTAAGTAGTCATGCAAGTTGCTTTCTAAGAATATAAAGAAAACAAGAAGATAAAGGCCCTAACTAAAGATTATTTCCTTTGTAAAATCTCAAAAGGACAACTTTGTTCATATTAACTACTCAGACTCAAGGATGGAGTATTAACTAACAGAAGACTTATTAAGAATTTATGCACAGCAATATTGGTAAGCTAATATCTTAAGGACCTTCATTTATTTATCAACAAATGCTAAGAAGCTCAGAGCCTCTAGCCTCAGGTACAAGGAGATCGGTGGACCAACTTGCAACTATTTTTGATATTTCAGGATTCAATACCTCTAATATTTGTTATGAATCTCAAGATCGAACTAGCATTACTGAAACTTCCAAGAACAAATATTATCAAGCTATCACTGGCCCACANTAAAAAAAAAAAAAAAAAAAAAACAATTTGCTTAAATGAATAACAGAAGTACAACACCAGCATGCTGTAAAACTCAGAATCATATTAAAAATTAAGTGCTTTAAGCAGATTATAAACCAGTGTCGCTGGACTGTAAAGTAAATTTCATGAGAGATAAAAATATAATTTCTTTAGAATTAGAGCTGCTACTTGAACCGAGTTGATCACGAACACAGCTTGGTTCAACTCGTGAAAGCTCGAGCTTGGCTCGTTCTTTTATTTAAACAAGGGGATTCGAGCTTGTTTGTTAGCAACTCGTTTCAACTAAGCCGCTTGTTTACGTACAACTTGTTTAGGGTTTTGGGTATGTCATTAAATAAGCACGAGATCGAAGATGAGGTGCTAGGCTCACCTCCCCTTGAACAACACTTCTATAAAGAATTGCAGAGTGGTAGAAAGAAGTGGCCTACTTGAGTTTATTATTGCTGTAACAACTTGAAATTACTTCAAGATAAACCTCATGTAGGAGTTTGCTAACTAAATATGATAATCTTGGATTCACAAGGCATGACTTTATCAATTACGTGGACTATGCAAGAGGTTCGAAAGTCTACATAAGCATCTTACAAGTTACAAAACAACTGCAGCCAGGATACACATATATATTCTGAATCACAAACATTTTCGCAGATATGTGACAATATCTCTGAAGCTATAATTGGAATAATCATAAACTCTCACGCAACTCCGAGGTTCACAGAAAAAAGCTGTTCAATGCCACCAAATAGAACTCCTCATCGGAGTACCATACAACGCACATGAAAAACCCACATTATATACGACGTGACCTAAAGTTCAGCTCAATCACATATCCCCTATGCACCATCTTCATATTTTTCATCGACAAGAACTATTAAGATTGCATTCATCCATAATTGATCAGAAATCCAAATATATATCTCACCTAATTTTCAATCCATTTCTCACACCGCAACACC